CGGCTTGTCGTTTGTGGCTATGACATACTGTATTTTGCAGAGCTGTGGATCTCGCTGGAGGAGCACCAGGATGCGTTAGAGCTCATCATGAGCAAATACAGAAAACAGATGTTACAGCTTTTGCAAGGGAGAAAAGGTGAAGATGCAGAACCAGTCTTGAATGTTCATCAGGCTAATTCTTTGGTAAGGTGGGATGGGGACAGAAGAGGGCTCAAGACCCCTCTTCCCTGTCTCTTGCTTGCTTTCATACCACTTCCGTTTCCATTCATGGAACGTCTCTGCGTCAAAATACATTTTCTGAAACTCTTGTCTCCCTTTGCTGGTATTTTTTTTCTCTATTCCTTTCACAGCACACAGGTTGTAACAGCTATCACAGAGGACACTGAAAAGCATAACCCTTTCACAGCCCAGGTGAAGGCTTGTTCTTTATGCACTAGGTGGTAAATTCCCTGGGTTAAGCTTAATGCATGTGATTCTCTGCAATGCAAAATCAAAGACATCAGAGTTGTTAATGTTGCTGTTCAGTAACTGTAAAAAATGGAGAAGAACTGTGAGCTGTAGTACGTTTAATTCTTAAAAAGTCATCGCTCCCAAATGCTTTTAAATCTGGATACTCTGTGCAATGGCCTGAAAGTGTCCCTTTGTCCATGTTGGGTGCGGTGACTTCAGAACTCTAAGATGTGGCTGTTGATAACTGCTGCCTGTTTTATGTTTAGGTCTCTATTAACAATATAATAACATTAAATCTCTATTTAAGGCTTATGAATTAAGTCAGGCATTTGTTAAAATGCATTTTTATGTGATTAGAGAACCGCAAGCTGGTTCAACCTAGTGACATATCTTGTGGTTTTTTAATCAGAACTGGAGCCAGCCTAACTTATTGCATATATATATCTCTTTGTGCTGATATGTGGCAACTCATTAGTTCTCTGTTTTGTGTTGTTTAGGTCCTCTGAAGTTAAGTAGTATAGCAATGTCTTGCACTGGAGTTGCTCTGCTTTTCAAGACTTACCATTTGAACAAAACTTCTTATGTTATTCTCTGGCACTGCTTTTGCTCTATTTTAATGGCATGGAAATGCAAAGCTGAAGAGACTTTGGAGGAACCTTTGATGGAATGTACCGAGACTATCTCAATATCTAGGCAAAATCTTCTGTACTTCAGATTAAGTCCATGAGTTTTTTCCTGACCACCACTTGGAGAATAGTAACAACCTTTAAATATCTTTTATAAAGAGCTATATTCTTATCATAACCATCTTTCTGTTTAGAAAAAAAACATCATTCTTTCTTCCCAGATTATCTGAGTCTTTCTTGTTTCTCCAGCTCTCTTCTAGATGCTCTAATGTGTTTACATATTTTCCAAGTAATGGAATTCAAAACTGAATTCTCTGCTCTGGTGATACATTTATCTTCCAGAGGCAGTGGAATAACTACTGACACTTAGAGAAAAGAAACTCCACCCTATAACATTATCTGATATTCCCCAAAGTACTTGTATTTTTATGTTATGCTAAAATGCCTTAAAAGCTTCCAAATTCTTGTCTTGCTACTTCTTGCCAATTACTGACATTTTTGTGTTTGCACATTTGAGTTCCTCCCTAAATACTTTATTTTAAAATGGAATGCTTTTCAAACAGGAACTGTTGCTACACTACCTGTTGGAATTTTTCAGTGTTCATTGTATGTGCATTTCTGAGCTTCAACAAAATGCATCTTTCCAAGGATGAGAGCTCTATCTAGCCAGATTCTGTAAAAACTGCCTCAGGAGGCTCTGGTCTTGTTTATTTTGGTTTCCTTGCTTGGCTTCCTTCTGAGATGAGGCTGTTTACTTCACATTGTTCCTTGGTCTTAAAATCTCATTTGCTTTTATATTTGGTGTTCTTATAAATTCAGAGTCAGGCTTTTCTAATAAAGCAATACAAAATTTGCTGCATACTCATCATATTCACATGAACCTGAATCTGTTGTCTCAGTCCTTGTCACGCTTGAAATTATTTCCATCTTCGTAAGTAAGGGTGCCTTATCTTGCTGACGGATGTAATTCTATTCGCTGTTTTCATTGATGACTCATGATAATGGACAGTAAGGTACATGTTTTCATCTTTAAATATTAGACAAGTTAGAAAGGATTGCAAGTGCTTGGGAAGAAAGGGTTAACGTTAAAAACAGGAAAATAATCTGAAATCAAGAAAATGAAAGTAATTGATTTAGAAGGGATAAACTAACTACTGCTGCTTTTGCCTGAACATATTGAATATACTACTTTTATGTCTTTCAGGAAATTGAAAGTCAAATAGACAGAATATGTGAGATGGGAGAGGTGATGAGAAAAGCTATTCAAGTCGATGATGATCAGTTCTTTAAAGTTCAGGAGAAACTAGCTCAGTTGGAGGTAAGAACAGATACAACTGCTAAGGATAGATCAAGTTTTGGGAGTCTCTAGACTTACTCTGGACTTTCTAACATTTGTATGTGTCAAGGATTTATTACAGTAAAAAATTTGGGGGTGGGGTCAGGAAATGCAGAACATGGTCTGTTTATTTTCAAGTTCTTGATGTTTGTATTATATATATATAAAGCCAGAAGCAAAAGATAAGCTTTAAATGATGTGGTTCTCTTGCGAGCACTATATTAATGCTTATGTTACAAAATCAGTGTTTTATTTAGCTGTGAAGGAGTGGGGCTATTTAAAAATGATCATCCTTTAATTGTGAATTAGCTCATTTCTATTTCAGCAAAAATATTGATTTTGCAGCTTGAAAACAAAGAGCTGCGTGAACTATTGTCAATCAGCAAAGAGTCTTTTGAGGTGGGGAGAGAAGATCTGCCTGACTGTGAAGCTTAGGTCACAAAATAACCTTATCTCCAAATCTTGACTTCAGAGACTATTATGAAACTACCCTACAAGGATGGGTTTTGATTTGTTCTTTCAGGTGTTTCCTTGTATGTTTGTTTTATCTTTCAAAATGTGTGGGCTGTTTTCTCTGCATTTTTTCTGAAATTACATACTCTTGATGGCAAAGGCTTGCATTGCTGCTCCGTCTTAGTAATTGCAGCATACAGATGCTTAACAGTGAAGTATTTATGATGTGTACTCCCTTGTGATAGTTTATTTCCTCTCCAGTTGGTTACTTTTATGAGCTTTAGTTAATAATTCCAACTGTGCAGATGGCACTTAAATCCACCTTGTCAGTAGCTAGAGAACATTAGACAGGTTGTGATTATTTTATTTCATAGAAGGAATAAGAGATTATTCAAAAACTACATTGTAAATGGTAGGTACACATTTTGCTCTGCCTGCACAGAGCAGGCACGCAGACCTTTTGCTTTGCTTTGAGGAGCTAACACTCAGTATTTGGCTGGGTTAATGCTGTTACTTGGACGACTGCTTAGAAGCAGATCAAGAGAACAGCACATAGCCAATAGAGCACTTTAAGTAGTAACTCATGTGAGGAGCATACCTTACCTTGATTTAGGGGTGAAAATCAGCGTGGATGACCCTTTCTGACACCTGTGCGTTTTTGAAGGACATTGTGTATCTGACTGATTTTTTTTTTACGGGTAGACCTGTTCCGGCTTTACCAATGCTCCAAGGTATGTGGATACTGGCTAGCTCTGATCTGAAGGCGGTGCACTCAAACCCCGCACAGAACACAGCACTTTCAGATCAAAGCTCTTTGGCCTCCCACCACTTTGGACTTCAGGAAGAGTGAGCTGAGGTCTGCCTCAAAACTAAACCAAAACCAACCATGTAGACATGTTTTTAATGTTACATCACAGGTAAGTCTAGTGACAGATGTTACGTAGTTATTGCAGAATCATATAGTGAGTGAAATTAGAGTTGCAGTGTGGTAGGAATTTATCAATATTGTGATATTTTAATGACATTTTTGTATAAAGATTTCTGTCTTTCTTACCTGTGATCAAAGAATAATACTCTAAGAACAATAAACACCTCATTTCCAATATTAGTTTAAATTGTTATGCCACCCTTTCCCAAGTGAGAATTTTGGTAGATGCAGAAGGTGATTTACGTTCCTGTGCTTGTTAAGAGACATTTTCTTGCAGCCATTTGGAATATCCAGCAAGATTGTTTGGTAGATACAGGGGATTTCTGTACAGGAGTATTCTTGTATACAATCCTTTTCTATTAGAAATTGTTTAAGACAGAATTAAAAATGACAGTGGGCAGTATTTTGTCAAGTGTATTCTGTTTTGTGAATCCTGGGGATAATTCCATCTGTTCTGCATGTACCCAAGCCTTTTGCACCCCCTCTGATTTTTACGTTGCCTGAATGAAACACAATGACCAAAAATGTTGCATTTCTCTCTTTTAAATGAACATCATCTGAAATGCCTGTGACGATGCCTTTTTACCTTCATTATCCTAGTGTAGGTGAACATTCCTCTAGTTGGCTAGTTGCTGCGCAGCCTGAAAAAATGGAAGCTAAACAGCAGTTGTTGTGACTGATTAATGTACTATTAATTAGTAGTGGGCCATAGTTAGCAGGGGCAGTTTAAATATGTTCCATGTGCTACTGTCCTGTTCTGGATCTGCAGATACGGAACCTGTAAGTGTCCGATTGTCTACCATTCTTACGGGCTGTTGGGCATTTTTAGAAGAACTTGCTCGGCGCGCCGTGAGAGCTGGGCCCAAGCCCCAGCACTGGCAGTTCTACTCTGCCCGTCCGTGGAACGCAGGCGCAAGGCGCCTCCCACCGCTACCTCGCCTCGGGGTGGGCCTGACCGCGAGCAGTGCTCGTCTCCCTTCCCGCAGGCTCTGCGTTCCCTGCGTCGAGCGGTCGGCCACAGGGAGCC